GATCATTCTGCTTTCATACTGGCCAACTCCAGCCGCTGTCCTGTCAGCTACACTTGTCTGCTCAGCTGACTTAAAGCCTCTGGATAAAACCGGGCAGATCTTCGTTTAATTTCTACTTTCATTAGCAAGCTGCTGATGGCAAGCTGCCGGGCCAGCAGCCACGGCGGCACGGCGTTCGAAGCCTGCGGCGCAGGACCCTCGATGAGGCACGGTGCCTCTGCCGCGCCCTCCCGTCGCTTCTCCGGCAGCAGGGGGGAAAGGCAGAATACCCCTTTTCCAAGAGAAAACGGGGAGCGTGCCGACGGGTGTGCGCTGCCAGCCTCAGGCTGCAGAGGCCCCGGGACACGGGTGCGCGGAGCGGCGGGGGGCTCAGCGCGGCACCCATCGGAAGCGGTGCCCGCCGGCGGCGGTGCGGAGAGTGAAGGCGTTTCCCTGCGGGAAGGCCAGGGTGCGGATGGCTCCCGCCTCCCCCAGCGCAGCCCGCAGGCTGCCGCTCCCCTCCAGCTCGCTGCCGACCGGGCGCGGGGCGGCGCGGCCGGTGCGCAGCCCGCGGAAGGTGCCGTGCAGCCGCGGGCCCGGCCGTGGGCGCTTGGCTGTGGGGCTGCCTCCGGGGCTGTGTCCCGGGCTGCCCCGGGGACTGCCCCCCAGGCTTCGCAGGGCGGCGCGACACTTCTCCGACACGGCACGCAGCATGGCGTCCACGCCCTCCGCATCCTCCAGGCCGGTCCCGGCCGGGGCAGCGGCGGTGGCGGCGGCAGCAGCGGAGGGCGGAGGAGGTAAAGGATGAAGAGGAGGAAGAGGAGGAAGGTCTGTCCCGTCGGCGCTTTGCCGGAGCATCAGCGTCTGCCGGCGAGAGGGAGCGCGAGTTCCGCGATCTGCACCGCAGAGCCCCGTCCTGTTTCGCACCACACTGTGCTCCACTGCTCCATCCCACACCGCACGGCCCCCTCCCACACCTCCCTGTGCTGCCCCGAACCGTACCACGCTGAGCCCCACCCCCCACGGCCCTGCTCCACCCCATACTGCTTTACCCCACACCGTACCAATCCCATGTTGCCCTGCCCCACACCGTCCACCCCATACCACCCTGTCCTGCACGACACAACTCCCAGAGTCCCACACTGCACAATCCCATTCCATATCTCCCACCATCCTGTCCCATCCTGTGCTGCCTTACCCTGCACCCTATTTCCCCCTGCACCCGACATCACACTGTCCCTCAGGGACAAGCTGGGCAGTGGGGCAGACAGGCCCGATGGTGAGCAGCACTCACGTCAAGAACAGCGGCCAGCTGCCTGGCCTGACTTGCCAGCTCCTTCAGCTGCACGTTGTTCTCCCGCAGTGTCAGCAGCTCTTCCTGCCTCTGTGTGAGGGTCTCCTGCAACTACAAAGGACGAATGTGGAAAGGGGTGGTTGAGACAGCCACATCATCCAGGAGCCAGGGGATGCTGCAGGCCATGGCCCTGTAGTTGCCTCAACAGGATGCAACAGAACACAGCGTAGACTGGGGAGGGCTTTGGGGTTTCCTACCTGGCTGTTTTCTTCCAGGGCATCTCCCAATGCTTTCTGGTGCTGGTCTGCCAGGTCCCTCCAGCACGGCTCAGGGGAAGACAGGTTCTGTGGGGGAACCTGCACCAGCGCACTGCTCTGCAGCTGCGGGGTGCAGGGGCTAAAAACCACCTCCTCACCAAGTGAGAAATCATAGTCAGTACAGTCCAGTGGTGGCGGCATTAAGGTGGATACATCTGGAAGGAATAGCCACTAGTGTTAAGTGGAGGCATTAATGTCTGCTCCCCCCAGCCCCAGCACACCATTCTGGTTTTAAATATCCCTCTGGATATCCCCTCTGGACTTGTCCTTCTGAAATGCTTTTACTCTACTGTGACAGCTGTGGACCCTGAATCTGTTTGGATTTAATTTGTCTCCTGTGGGAGAAAGCTCAGTGACAGCTCAGATCTCTAGGGGAGTGAGCAGGAACTACCCCACAGACGGTCCCATGGTGGGACAAACATGAAGTGAGTGGGCATCCAAAATTCCAAAAGCAAAGCAAAAAAAAAGAGGAGACTGAATGCAGCATGACTGCAGATGTGCACACGCAGGTATATTTGGCTCAGGTAAGGAAAAATATCTACTTGCCAGATATAAAATCACCGACAGTGTGCCTGAATTCCTGGAAATCAAACTCCGGCCCATCCTGGAAGCAGGGACCCTGGCAGGGGTGAAGGAAATGATCCAGTGAGCAGGGCCCAGGGCTCAGACCTGCCCACTCCACTGCCCATACTGTTTTGACAGTGTCCGCTGCCTGTGCTCAGTTCCTTATCACAGTTCCAGCACATCCAGGCACCATCCCCTTGCCACTTGCATCTGACACATGGGACAAGATCCTGTCCTCTGCTGTGCCCATTTCACAGGTGGGAAACTTGAGGCTAGGGAAGTTGCCAGCGTCCATCTTCTTGAGAGAGCTACCCCTTCAGGTGCCAAGTGCAGCCTAGGCTGTTCTGAACAGTAGGTTTACCTGCTGCAGGGTCACAGGGCCAGTTAGGGTGGTGGGAAGGATGGGGGCAGAGGCGGCCAAATCCTGCCAGTTGATGGTGCTGAGCACTGGGGACAATCAGAGACAAAGGTGAGTAGCATGGGCAGGGGTGGACATAGCAAAAGGAGAACAGCAAAATGAGAAGCACGGCTGGGGAACATCTTTGATGTGCATGGCCAGGTAATGCAAGGCTGGGAAACAGGGTGCAGAGGCACCAGGAATGATACAGTGGGGTTCATGGAGAGGGGTCATGGCCAGGGGAACACGGTGGAGGGTAAGGCGTGGGGTGTCACGGCTGGGGAGCACAGTAGGGGACACCAGAGGGGCGCAGAAGGAGGAACAGGGGAGGGTACACGCCTGGGGGGGTTAAGGCTGTTCGCTGCAGGCTGACTCACCCAGGGCGGGCGCGGCGGCGGCCGGCGAGGCAGCGCTGCGGCGGCCATGGCGGGGGCTGCCCGCCCGCCTCCGCTCCTCCGGGGCGCCGAAACCGCCCGCCGCCGCCCCGGGCCGGGCCGCCGGCTCCCGCGCCCGCGGAACCCTTCCGCGCGCCTGCGGAGCCTGGGCGGGCAGAGGGGCTGCCCCAGAGGGAATTGCGAGGATAGGCGCTGCAGGGCCCGCCACCACGGCCGCCCGTCCCCCGCAGCAGCTCGGTGCCGCGCTCACCCCCGCGGGTCTCTGCCGCTCGGTGCGGGCTTCAGCTTGGGGGCTGGGCTGATTTTTATGGTTTGTGTTAGATCTCTCTAAGGGATAGGGTCCGTCTGCGTTGAAAGCCACGGGGGACAGGGGGGGCCCTGTGGGGAGAGTGTTATGTAGGAGAAAAAAACCAGTCCATGGCATCTTGAATATACTGATCCGCGCATCGGGAGAGCCCGGGCACCCTAGCACAGGCAGAGAGTCCCACTCGCTGACACGGCATGTGCAGCTGAAATCACCGACGGGGTTGGCGGAGATTGAGCTGCCCTTTATTCCACCGTGGCGGTCTTGTAGGTATTTTTTGTAACAGCAGCGTGGACAAGGTTTCGTTCTGCCTCATCACCTGACGGCAGGCAGGACTCGGAGCGCCGCCCGGCGTCCGGGTCCCCCCTGCGCTGAAAGCAGGAGCAGGTGTCTATGAGGTCTTTTAACACTACTTTCGTGCACAGATACAAATGAAGAAAATGAAATATTTTACAACGCTATGACTGTTTTCTGCCTTTGAATGTGCCAACCTGCTCAGGAGCATGCATCTGGATTAGAGACCTGCCAGAAAACTAAACAAACAAACAAACCCAGCTGTTGTTATTATCCCACACTCTGTTTTCCTACATTTATGTCAGTGTATCTATTTTTTCCTCGAGCCATGACCAAGCCAGCGGGAGGCAGTTTGAAACGGGGGAAATAAAACCCCATAGACTGGCTATAGAGCAGGTGTTTTTTTATTCCAGTACTGGAGGTGAGGGGGATTTCTTCACCTAACTCACCCACCCTTGTCAAGTGCTGCGGTTTATTTATGCAGTAAGTACTGCTTAATATTGCTATGTCATTATAACATCATCATATATGCACCTGAACTGATTTATATAATATTATCTCATTGATATAAATTGTTCTACTGTACTATGCTTGTGCTTCCCCAGTTTAGGTGGTCTGGGAGGTCTTCTTCAATGAAGGCTTAAGGTGTTCCTCACATCTGAACTTTTCAACTTTATCTTTGGAGCATGCACAATTATGGTGTTTCTTGGTCTTTCTGGATCTAACCAGTCTAAATTCTTAATTTTGTGGCTAATTTGCTTTACATTTGCTAATTACTAATTAGTACATCCTGCTGCTTCCCAATATAGCTATACCTGTCTATTTTTGAAACTACTTGCCTATTTTTGAAACTATTCACCTGGCGTGTTTCTGTTTATTTAAGCATTAAGCAACTAGTTAACCATATACTGGCTATTACATTGTATAGAAAGTTATGATTCGGGTTATATTGGTATCTTATATATCTTATAACTCAAGATGTATATCTTATAACTCAAGATCTTGTAACTCTGACTCAAGTTATATAGGCATCACAGGGAATGACACTATTGGGCATGTTTATTTTGTGGGGGATTGAGTTAACTGACAGGGTGAATTCGTTATGTGCCAATGTGTTTCCTCTCCCAGCTGCATCTGCATACCACCAGGCAATAAACATATAGAGATAACAAGCAAAAAAGAGTTTACTCAACATTCGGTTGGTCCTTACAATGCTATCTTCATGGACCACCCTCCAATTAAATAACACAGTATGTGAGATTCAGTAAATTATTTACATGCTGGACTTAAAAAAAATACAGCAAAGGGACAGTGCAGATGACATGACACATAAAATCGTTTGCAAAACGCCATCTAATTTTTAAGCTCCAATGACACTAAGGCTCAATGGATCAGACTGCACCGACTCTGTGGAGCACAAACGCCGAACCAGTGCCCCCTCCACGACCACCCTCTGTCAGCGGTCATCCCCAAGCCAGGGGCACTTCTGGGCCACCTCCGAGGGCAGGAGGAGAGACAGGGACCGCCCGTTCAGAGACACCAGGAGCTGAAGCTGGTCCATGCAGTCCCGTAGGAGCTCTTCCGGATAGCCGCTGATTCGCAGGTCCAGGGGGCTGCGGTGGCGCAGGAGCCGGTCCGCAAGCCCCAGGCTGCTGGCGGCCAGCAGAGAGGGCGCGTATTTGGTGAAGGCATAGTCAGCCAGGCTGAGCTCCGCGACGCCCGCCGCCAAGCTCCGGGCGTCCGCCGCCTCCCCCGCGTCGGCCCCCCGAGTCTCCAGCCGCACCTGGCTGAAGTGCTCCAGGAAGAAGCTGACGGTGGGCGCCGCCAGGTCGAAGTCCAGGCGATGCAGGACGATGCACTCCAGGTTGCGGAGCTGCTGGCGGGTGAAGGCATCGCAACAGAGGGCGAGGAGCTCTTTCACGCTAGGAGGGTGCACCTCCACCTGCGGGTGGGCACAGGAGTGAGGACGCTGCCGCCGGGAAGCAGTGCAGGGGAGCTGGCGCGGAGCCCGGCCTGTCTGTGTCTCCCTCAGGCTGGCCTCAGCGGGCCGATACCCCGGTGGCAGGGCACCCGGGGCCCGCGGCCGCCCCTACCTGTTTGCAGGCGATGAGCAGCGCTGTTACCCCCAGGAGCTGGAAGCAGTCGGCGGCCACTGGGGTAGTGGCGAGAAAGCGGTCGAGGATGTTAACGGCCAGGCAGAGTGCCTCCAAGGAGAGCCCGAAATGCCGGCGCACGGGGATGAGCCAGCTGACCAGCTTGCAGCGCGCCTCTGCCGTCACCTACGGCACCGGCAGTGGGGATCAGGCGGGGCCGACTCGGGGTCTCCCGCCCACTCCCCGCCGCCGGCCCCGCTACCCCCACCTGCGGCTGCCGGGCGAGCGGCTCCCGCGGCTGGAAGCGGCTCTCCAGCCCCTTGCGGGAGCGGTACCAGCTCTCCCCGTAGTCGCGGAAAGCCTGCAGCTCCTGCGCGTTGTCCCCCGCCGCCGCCGCCGTCCTCGTCCCCAGGCACCGCCGCCTTGCCGGGCGCCGCGGACAGCCCCCAGGGGAGCCGCCGGGCCCCCGACGCTCCGGAGTGCCGCCGCACCGCCCGCTCGCCGCCGTCACCATGGGGCGGGCGGCCGTGTCAGGTCCGCTCCGGTGGCGGCACTGGCTATTTGAGCGGAGTGGTGGCCGCCACAGCTCTCACCGCCCGCCTCCCGAGCACCCCGCCCCGCCCGTCCCGTCGTCGGGGCACTTAGGGGACCACCGTCTCCAAAACAAAATCCGAGCCACCGAAACGTCTGTCTCTTCTCTGCCGTTTGCCCTCGGGCAAAAAGGCTGTGGTGGAGTCGCCGTGTGACCTCCCGACCACGGCCTCCTCGCTCTCGCGCGGCACAGAGAGCAAACCAGACAGCAGTGCCGTAAACCCACGAATGTGGCCAGCTGAAGCTGCTGCGTGGATTTTGCCATTACCAACGCAGGCGTCTCTCCAGCTCCTAGCAGTTCAGCTCAGAACGTCGTAAGCTTTAACAGTTACCGATCACTGCCCGTAAGTAACACTTCCAGTGCAGGTCACCAGAAACAGCACGGGACAACAAGGGAAAGAACCAGGAATGCTGGAGCTCACGATACAATCTGGGTTTCAGTTACACTTTCATCCATAGACTATTTATGTGATGAGGCACTATATTAAACAGCTGAATAGAGGGAACTTAAAACAGTCCTGCACTCCAACCACCCATTTATAGTGTCCTATATATGTGGAAAGACCTGCAGAAAGAAAACCTCTTCTGGGTTAAGCACTGGGAAAGATGGCAGTAGGAAACAAGAGCTTCAAGAAGCCAACGATACAGAAGCAAAACAGGGGAGAAGGTGGGAATCCCACAGCGTGAATGGCAGGAGCAGGAACTCCTCTCCAAGGTAAAAAAAAACAAACCCACATTGAAGACCACAGTTGAGATAATGGTGACAAAATCCAGAGACAAGGAATGGTCTTGTGTCTGACAAATGCTTTGAGAAAAGCAACACAGAAGTGTTAACAGAAGTCTTTATTAAATAAATAGCAAAAGAGAAAGTTCATCCACCCAAAAGAGTACAGGCACAAAAGTATACTGCAGAAGCAGAAAGCCAGTGTAGCATCTGGGTTGGTTTTTGGTTTTTTTTTTGGTGTTTTATTTTTTTTGTTTGTTTGTTTGTTTGGGGTTTTTTTTGTTCTTTTTTGGGTTTTGGGGTTTTTTTGAAGTTTTTTTTAAAGATAACTGTGTTTGTCTGTACACCACAGTGTGACCTCCTTAATTTGTTTTACAGAAAACTTGTTAACACAGAAGATCGTGCAATTGCCCAGTTATTACACTATATCCCCTTAATTTATTTCAGTTATTTATTTAGAAGATTACAAAGAACAGCATGCTAGAGAAACACAAAGAATAACTCTGAATTTCAACATTACCACCTATAAATGGAAAAAAAACCTCTTATTCATCACAGTTGAATAAGGGAGAGCTCAAACACAATTCACACTTTCCCTAGGATTTAACCATTTAAGACCAACACCTCATTTGCAAAATTCAAACCCAAAAGAAAGAGCAGCTTGCTAATAACTGAATTATTGAGATATTTTTCTACTTTGTGTTTCCAAAGAATACAAATAAAACATCTCAACCAAAACAAACGCTAGGAAATTTGTTTAGGGTACAGATTTAGTTTATATCTTCAATGAACATAATTTGCAAGTTTTGATTTCAGTGTGGGAATACTGAAGGCAAAGTTGAGCTCTTAAGGTCTAAGATCAAAACTTCCTGTTCAAATGCTTCCTTGCCTAAACGGTGCTGTAAAAAACCCCCAAAAGTCACTTCCTGTCTCCTCTGAAATCAGGACTACCACTACATTATCATAAAGCATAAAAGAATAACAGATATGATCCCTGTTCCTTCAGAGCTGTTAGCAAACAGCTTTCCTCTTCCAGCATTGGTGTAAGCTAACGTGCACAAGCTGGACAGCAATAACAGCTCCACTGTGATAATCTAAATGGATAGGCTCCATATATTTTGCATTTTTATGAATTCAGTTTCCTGAGTGCCCTTTCTGTACATGGTTAACTTCTACTGTATAAAATCTTTATTTTTCAGATTAAACAAAAGTTCTCATCTACACTGTGCTTCTGTCTGTGAAGACAGTTCCTATTTGACTGCAACTGTTTAATGGCAAATCCTCCCCACCAATATATTCCTTATTTTTGAAAGCTAAGTTGGCAATCTAAAATTGCACTTCATAATTAGAAACAGTGTGGATGGGTAGAATGTGAGACCATCTGATTCATTAAGTTAAGGATTATTCAGTATTGAAGAAACAAGAAACAAAGGATCACATAGATATCCAGTCATTGTGAGCAAGTAGGGTAGGAGAGAACTGCCACTGGAAGCTCCCACTAGGAGCTTCTCTGGTATTTCCTTGAAGAGGGTCAATGTGAATTTTGATCAATAAGAGGACAAAAAACACATGATCATCTCCTGAAGGGTGCCTGGAGAACTATGCAAAACTTGACATACAAAAAAGGGAGAGCAAAATATAGTACAGTTGCAGGAGTCACACGAATCAGGGTAAACAGGGAGGAACAACTGTGAGAAGAGGCACATCCTCTTCTTTGGGAGGAGCTGCTGGTCCACATCTTGCTGAACAGCAGTCCATACCATCATTTTAGAGAGGCTTATAGAGCATCCTCTCAATGTAAATCATACAGTAAAATTAAGACTACTCTAAGATGTCTTGGTTTAATACTGTAAATTAACAGTTAAAAAAAAAATCAGCACTTAGGAAACCCATATGAGAAACATTTGCCTTCCATTTGCATATATGGAATTCTACTCAACTGAGATTCAGGACTGAATCTTCAATCATCAGTACACACTGTACTGACGGTATGATTAGCACATCAAGTTAAAAAAAAAGAAATGGCTGTGAACAATTCGTATTTTGAAAAAGCTGCTTGGAGTTATCATTCTTAGAGTCACGACAAATGGCACCAAATATAGTGTAAAGGCTAAACATATCCAATGTTCATCTTCAAAATGATAAAAAGAAAGTCTGATCCTATGCAAAATCATGCAGTCTATCCCCATCATGGCTGGTATCAACCATACTAAGAATTTAAATTAATTTCCAATTAACGGAGTGCGTATTTCCCCTTCAATGAAGCTCTGATCTGTTGCTGATTTCTGATTTCAGTTACCATCTTCTGTTTTTATCAGCTCTTTGATGATGTATAAGACCTTGTCATCTAGAAAAAAACAAAACCACAGCGTATGAAAAAGAGCAAGCTTAAAAACTGATTCTCAAAATGCCAAAAATCATAAGAGAAGTCTAGCTGTCAGCAACTGAAAATTTTAATGTTTTAGGCTATGCTAGAATCTAAAGCAGAACAAGTGATTACCACTTAGCAAGCAAAAGGACAAACAGTATGTACACAGAACATCATCATAAAATTATTCTATGAACTGCTGATGGCCATTTCAGTATTCCACAAAAGAGACTGGGAAAGTTGTGTTGTTAACTCCAGACACATCAGCATACAGGAACTCCCCTTTCTTCCCCACCTACAATACGCTCCTGAATATCCAGTGTCCAAATTTTAAATGGTGCTCTGCTATCCCTTACTCTTGGGAACCAACATGTCATTGGTTAACCTAGGTTTTGAGACAACTTGCATAACACTTAAAAATCATCTATGCCTAGGATTCTCCACACAATCTCAATTTCATTTTGAGATGCTTGCCTCACCATTACTACCACCCTGAATGCTGTTACCATGGAAGTCTTTAAAATGGCAGTTGTGCAGATCTTTGTACATCTGGGGCGAGCCACACAATATATGCAGGGTTAGTAATGACTTTCTGGATGCCTCTTAATGGAACTTTCATGTCACACATGCTACTGTGTGAGGATGCGGTGTACTAATGATTCCTCAGTTTTGCTGCGAGGTCCATTTAACAAAGAGTAATGCCAGCAATAAGTTACCTTCAAGTGACATTTTGGGATTTTCAAGCTTCTTCTTCAAAACAGATTCAATGAGAACTCTCAGCTGTTTGAAAATTACTGCTATCTTAACAGGAGCCTATAAAGAAAAGACAAACATTTAATCATCAGACATTTCACACCAAAATATAGATCAAAATATTACCCTAGATATAAAAAAAGAGTTCATATCAAGATTCCTGCAAACATGATGCACATATGTGATTTTTAATGGTAATGATAATCATGATGGGTAGGACATTCATTAAATGACTTTGCTTACATTATGCCTTAGCTTTAGGCACCAGTTGTTCCAGTATCAAAGCCTAAAGAACAGCAGCTGAGAAGGGTAACTTAGAACGTGTTCCCCACACAAGCAGCATAAGGGGAAATTATTACTTCACCAAGAAGCTGCCCAATTAACTGCCTTTTTTCCCCCCCCCCCAGGTAACAAAGTTCAAATTACACCTACACCTGAAATAAAGCTACTGCCTCTTGGGAGGTCTGCCAGGCCTCCTGAAGAGGCAATCACAAGCCTTTTCTAGATCTCACTATGAATTTGGATACCTAAAACAGAACCCCCTCCCAAAAATATTGAATTTTATCCTTTCCTCCCTATTTCAATCTTTATTTAGTTTATATGCTGCCTTTGGTACAAGTAGCTGCTACAGCAGAAGCACAAAATGTAAGGTATTTTGCTTAGTGTCTCAGTAGAAAAGTAGAAATTCTGAAACACTCTGTAAGATGTGATTAGCCCAGCAACTACACAACTGTAGCCATCCAGGGACCAGAAAAAAAAAGTCTCTAACAAACCCACAAGGGACCTGCTTGATAAAATTCCCTGTTCATGATAATCAGTGAATTAAATTAGATGACTGCTTACTTGGATCAACAGACTGTAAAAAATTGCTTTGCTGCTTACAGTTGTCTTTGAGAGTAGCACAAGGCTCAGAGCATAGAAGGAGCACAGAAAATTGTAACCATGTAGCTGCCTGGATAGCAAAACTTGCCATTTATCAGAATTTACACAGGATCTTTTCATGACAACTATTTTGTCTGCAAAAATGTGCTAGGAAAGTGCTCTCAGTTTCCAAGTAAAACTTACACATGCAAAAAGG